AGTATAGACAGGCCCGATGGGCTGCCCAGGAGTCAAAAGGCAGCCGCCGGTAGGGGTCGCAACTGCCCCTACTGCTAGGCCATGTGGGGAAGTGAGCGCGCGCACACATGAGCCTTCGATAGAGGTTGCAGGTCAGTGCCCAGTTAGCTGTCCAGAGACTGCTTGTGTCAGCGTCTCTCTAGGCACTTCCCTCACAGGCGTGGCAGAAGAGTTGAAGGAGAGGATGCCTGCCTGGGCCAAAATGAAGAAGGAAAGCAAAGGACAACTAGTTTTAGTTGACGTAGAGATTTTTAGGAGTAGAGTAAGGGCCCTTATAGATTCAGGGGCCACCCGCAGTTATATTAGCCGTAAAGCGCTGAAGAAGCTAAGGCTAGGGTTGAAGGTCCAGAAGTTGGAAGACCCCACAGTTAGTGTCCTCGCAGACAACCGCACTATGCGAGTTGAGGACTACGTAGAGGGAGTCCAGGCATATTTTTGCCTAGAGAAAGATGGGAAGGTGGAGAAAGTTCTCCATTCCCTGACTCTCCTCGTTCAGGATGACCTTCCTTTCGATATAGTCCTAGGTATGGACTGGGGAGAGGCAGCAGGAGCCACACTTCATCTGAGAGAGGAGCCACACTTCATCTGAGAGAGCATGAGTGTAGGCTCCCTAGTCCGTCAGGCGAGGTCAAGACTGCCCGTTTGTTCCATGTGTCAGGTGTGGACAACACCTTGGCACATTGTTGTCTCAGTGCTCCCGCGTTCACGCGACTAGTTAAGAAGGAGCAGGTAGAGGAGCAGGTCTTTGTAGCATATGTGAGACCTGTCACTGAGCCTAAGGAGGAGAAACCCATAGACCCAGCTATTGCCAAGCTGCTGGAAGAATTTAAAGATTTGATAGAGTCGCTGACAGGAGTAGTGCCACGACCAATCCAACACAGAATAGAGATAGAGTCTGGCAGTAGAACTCCTAAGGGAGCAGTTTACAGAATGTGCCCCAGAGAGTTAGAGGAGTTGCGCAAGCAGTTGGACGAGTTCCTCGAAAAAGGTTGGATTAGGCCCAGTTTATCTCCTGTTGGAGCACCAGTTTTGTTTGTCCCCAAAAAGGAAGGAGAGCTAAGGATGTGTATAGACTATAGGGGTCTGAATCCGATCACAGTTAAGAATGTTGAACCACTGCCCAGGATAAACAATCTCTTAGATCGGGTGCAGGGTTGCAAATATTTCTCGAAGATTGATTTGAAGCCCGGATATCATCAGATAGAGGTCCATCCTGATGACCAGTACAAGACTGAGTTCCGGACTCGATATGGGCATTATGAGTTCATAGTGGTGCCCTTTGGACTGACCAATGCGCCAACTACATTTCAACGATGTATGAATGATTTGTTTAGGCCTTGGTTAGATATATTCGTCGTAGTTTACTTAGACGATATCTTAGTGTTCAGTGGGACCCTCCAAGAGCACCAGGGTCATTTGAGGCAGGTCTTGGAGAAGTTGAGAGAGGTTAACTTCAAGGTCAACGAGAAGAAGTGTGAATGGGCCAAGACACAAGTCCTGTACTTGGGCCATGTGTTAGACGGAGATGGCATTAAGCCTGAGGACATCAAAATAGCGGCAATTAGAGATTGGCCGACGCCCCGCACATTGACAGAGTTGCGGTAGTTCCTAGACCTAGCTAACTACTATACGAAGTTCGTGAGGAACTTCTCAACTATCGCCGCTCCCCTTCGCAGGTTGCTTAAGAAAGAGGCAATCTGGAAGTGGGATAGAGACTGCACGTCTGCGCTAAAGAAATTGAAGCGCGCATTGATAGAGTACCCTGTCCTCAAAGTAGCAGATCCGTCCTTGCCATTTGTCGTCACCACGGATGCGAGTCAGTATGGTATAGGCGTCGTGTTACAGCAGGACGACGACAATGGCTATAGGCCCGTAGAGTTCATGTCAGCGAGGATGCCCTCAGAGAAGGTCGCTACCTCGACATACGAGAGAGAACTCTACGCTCGCAGGCAGGCCTTAGAGCATTGGAAGCATTACCTGCTTAGGAGGCACTTCAAGGTGTATTCAAGTTGACTAGGTGGGCCGCTGAGATAGACCAATACGACTTTGAGCTCAAGTTGCGGATGCTCTGAGTAGGAGATCAGACTACTTTGGAGCTATAGTTCACTATCTGGACATAGGGAGTGACCTGCATGAGAAAGTCAGACAGGCGTATGCGCAGGACCCTATTTATAGTGACCTCCTCAAGAGAGTTAAGGAGGCCCCAGAGACCGAACCAGATTACCGCACTACARAGGGGTTATTGTTTGAGAAGACTAATGTAGTAGACCGTCTATGCRTTCCCAACAGTGAGGAGATCCRWARCCTRATCCTAGGGGAATGCCATGATACAGAGGGACACTTCGGTTGGCAAAAGACTCTAGCCAATCTGATGCGCGCGTACACTTGGCCAGGAATGAAAAACGACTGCATAGAGTATGTCCGCAGCTGTAAAGTTTGCCAAAGGAATAAGACTACTATGCGTGCCCCTCTAGGTCTTCTCAGACCCTTGCCTATTCCTGATCAGCCAGGAGATTCAGTATCCATTGACTTTATGGACGCTGGCGTCAAGAGTAGGCACGGCAAGAGCCAAGTCATGGTCGTAGTTGACAAATTTAGCAAGTATGTTGTTTTTGTTCCTTTGGCTGCAGAGGCACGTACAAAGTTAGTCATACAAAAATTCTTTGATTTTTGGGTTGGTGAGCATGGAGTCCCATTGTCTATAGTCAGCGATAGAGATAGTCGCTTTATGAGTCAGAACTGGCAAGAACTGATGAAAGTCTATGGGCCAAAGTTGCTAATGTCGTCTGGCCGCCATCCAGAGACTAACGATCAGACTGAGCAGATGAACAAGATCCTACAGCAAGTTTTGTGCATGTATATTAGACCTGATCAGATTAATTGGGACGAGATGTTACCCAAGGTAGGCAGTGCGTACAGTAACAGCGTGCACCTGTCCACCTGTCGCACTCCCAATGAGTTGCACAAGTCCTTTAGACCGTGTAGACCGTTTGAAGGACGTAACCGGGATCAGATTCACAGGCTACCGCCCGGTACTAGGGAGTTCGCGATATAGCACGAGAAAGAGATAGCCACTGTTGTTGAGAACCTCAGGAAGGCCCAGCACCGGATGATAGAGCAGGCTAATAAGCACCATCGCCCATCACAATTTCAAGTAGGCGACTTAGTCTGGGTCAAGTCCAAAGAGTTTGCTCCTGAGGAAAACATCTCGCATAAGTTACTGCCTGCATACAGAGAACCGTGGCCAGTTCTAGAAGTCAAGGGTGGAGAAGATGGGTCGTCCTACACTGTAGAGATTCCAACACACCTCCACACCTACCCTGTATTTCATGCATCAAAGTTGTTGCCGTGTGTCACGAGTCAACAGTTTCCGTCTAGGAGATCCATGATCCCCCCGGACATGGACTGAAGATACGACATTGACGACATTGTAGGTGAAGACGTGTTCAGAACAGGAGGTAAAGGTCGTCCGCAGAAGCAGTATAAGGTCCGGTTTGCTTATCAGGAACCAGAGGACGACCGCTGGTTCACTAGAGCAGAACTTCTAGAAACAGCTCCCAACATAGTTAGAGCCTATGAGAGAGATAAGAAAGGAAAAGGTACTGCCTTGGACTGAGTTATTCTCGGAGGACCTCGAATTTAGGCC